GCCTTCCTGCTTCTTCACTTCAGAGTCAATAAAAAGATCTTTGAGGAATAATTCTCTACTGACGCCAATTCTTTCCTCCACTTTGCTACCGCCAGCCTCCCCAAAGCGATAGCGTTTGACTACTACTATCAAAGACCTATAACAGACTGTTATAAGAATAAATGTGGGAAGATTTTGAAGATATATGAAAAGAGTGTGGCTACTTTGTAGAGGGAAAAACTACATATGATCGGGTGAAAAAGGTGTTGAAGTCTAATAAAACAACCTCATAACAGAGGCAAGATACCAAAAAGTTAGGCATGAAAGTAGCTGGTAATTACTATATTACTTAAAATGTTGAGAATTAAGGAAAATCTTTGCCTAGAGGAAAGCCATAGGTGAATGGCAAATGTGACGGTGAAAGCTAAAGATTTGCTGTGCTGTTGCTGGGTGAGGTCGCAAAGAAGAGTAATGAACTTGGTTATATTTTATCAAAGATTAAACTATATAAGAAGAAAAAGGAGAATGGGAAAAAGTAGGAACTTACTGTGGCAAAGTGGCGAAAGCACGACTTATAAAACCGGCGCCTGTGCCGCAATGATCACATTTGTACTCGATTTCTTCACGCGCTAAAGCGTTCTCAATCATTTTCTGGATGGATTCTCCCGCACTGCAAAGTTGTAAATCAAAGAACGAATAGAGAAAAGGGATACATACCTCACAGTCACTGTTAGATCAATAGCATCATTTGTCATCTCGCTTGCTCGAGCACAACGTTCGCAACCAAATCTGAAGTACGAAGTCTTCATTTAAATCAATCACCATAAAAGGAAGCTGTACCTATCCCTGATTTTGTGTTGAAACACTCCCGCTGGATTTCCACGTGAAGTTGTTGAATGCTTGGACTGCTGATATGTTAATTACTAGGTTATAAACAAAGAGGATTGCTTCACGAAAATCTTACTTCCGCAGAAGAGCATGTAGCTTTTTCGTTATTAACAGGAAAATGACGCCTTCGGCGCAATGACTCCTTCTCAAGAATTTCCAATGTCTTTGCCAAAAACTCGTGAGCATCCTGAGCAGGCAGCGATGGAAAAAAATTGGCAGAATGGTAAGGACTAGGACGCACCTGTTGCATATTAGACCCAAAATCGGGATCTGAACCGAGCTCCTTTCCAGCTGCTGCTCTCAAAGCCTCAAGCACCTGAAATTAAAACATAACGTATCCTGTCTACAATTTTTGGTGATGTGC